GAAGGGTGGAGGGGGTGAAGGGAGGGCAAGGGAAGAGGAAAGAAAATAAGAACCAAGATACTCATGTAAAGGTACAAGATCCCAATGATGAATGTAACTGTATGTTATACCGAAAATGTACCAATAAACTTAATGGGGGGAAAAAGAAACTATTTCAAACCTATGTTCCAATAAATTGCAGAATATAAGATGTATACATATATTCCTAGACAAATAGCAAATTATCAAAAATGAATCAAGAAGGTGTAAAATTCTGAATAGGTCAGACAGTGAAATAGAGACAGCATTAAAAACCATACCAAACAGACCAAAAGCCCAGCACCCAGTGGACCTTTACCAGAACTAGGATGACAGACCTTTATTAGAACTTCATGGTCCAATACCAATATTTATCAAACTCATTCAAGAAATTTAAAGGGAAAGAACACTGTCAAACTCAATCCTGGAAACTAGCGATATGCTAATACAAAAACCAAACAAGTATCCAGGGGAAAAAAATTGGTACTGCAGGCCAATTTCCCTGAAGAACACAGATGAAAGAATATCCAAGATATTTATAAATACAATGCAAGAAATCATTAAAGAGTTCATACTTCATGACCAAGTTGGCTTCAGCCTAGGGATGCAAGGATGGTACAATGTACATGAGTCAATAAATGTAATATATGACAGATAAAAATGACACAATCATCTCAATAAATGCAGAAAAACCGTTTGACTAGATCCAACTTCCATTCATGATAAAAAGTCTGTTGAAAAGACGTATAGAAAAACCTTACCCAAAACTGATAAAAGCAACTCATGACAAACCCAGGGCCAACATTATCTGAACAAGGGAAAACATAAAACATCCTCATTAAAATCAAGAACAATAGGGCCGGGGATTTAGCTCAGTGGTTTTGCCACCTGCTGCGCAAGGGCAAGGACCCGAGTTCGATCCCTGGTACCAATAAATAAATAAATAAATAAAATCAGGAACAATACAAGAATATCCATTCTCAGCACTCTTGTTCAATATCATACTTGAAAATTTATCCAGAGTAATCAAGAAAGAGAAATAAAAGTTATATGAATAAGAAAGAAAGTACTTATTTTCAGATAATGTGACACTATCTACATTGAAGATCTTAAAAAACTCCATCAGTAGACTCTTAAAACTAATTAACAAATTCAGCAGTGTCAGAATACAAAATCAAAACAGAAAGTCAATAGAGTTTCTGTATACCAACAATGAACCCACTAAGAAATAAAGTAAATAATCTTATTCACAGTGATTTAAAAAAAAAACTTCAATACATAGGCATTAACCTAACCAAGGAAGTGAAAGACCACTATACCAAAACCATAGCATTCTGAAAAAGGAGACTGAAGAGCACTTTAGAAAATGGGAAAACATCCCCTTTTCCTAGACTGGTACAACTAATACAATCAAAATGTCTCTATTATCAAAATGATATAGAGATATAATGCAATTCTCATCAAAACAGCATCAGATTTTTTTTCTCAGAACTAGAAAAATCTTGTAAAATTTATATTGAACAAGAAGATACTCAGAGTAGCAAAAGAAATTTTGAGGAACAAAAACAGCTGCACACATTAATCCCAGATTTCAAGTTATTCTACAAAGATAGAGTAATAAAAAACAATGTTACTGGCACAAAAAAACATGTTGATCAATGGAATAGAATAGAGTATACAGAAGCAACCCCAAGGCATTCACCTTCGTCATCTGATTTTTGTTAAATGGGTCATAACACTGGAAAAAAGATAGCACCTTTAAAAATTATGCTGCAAAAACTAGTTATTCACATGCAGAGGAAAGAATCTACACTCATATTTCTCACCCTGTAATACATTAAAATCAGAATTGATTAAAAAAATCTAGCTATTAAAACAGAAACACTACATCTTCTGGAGGAAAAAAATATGTAAAACTCTTAAAAGATATAGGGATAAGATAAAAGTTTTTAAACAGAATCCCAATTGCACATGAAATAATGCCATGCATCACCCAAAGAGATTTTATAAAATATATGAAATTAAAATCTTCTGTACAGCAAAGGAAACAACCAGGAGAGTGAAGAAACAAGCTGAACAAAGGGAAAGATTTTGCCAGCTACTCCTTGAACAGAGGACAAATGTCCAGAAAATATGAAGAGCTCAAAAAAAATTAGACCCTGCCAAATAAAAGATCCACTCAAGAATGGGCAGTTTGAAATAAATAGACTTCTCAAAGAAAAAAGTACAAATAGGCAATCCATAAGTTCCAGAAAAAAATGTTTAATATCTTTGGCCATTAAGAAAAATTAAATAAAAAGAACACTGAGATTTCATATTAATCCAGAGAGAATGGACTCAAAAAATCAACAAAGGCTGATAAGTTGGGGAAAACAAACACTTCTACAGTGTTGGTAGAAGTCAAATTTCATTTGACTAAACTATACCTTTTGTGGGTATCTTTCTCAAAGTGCTAAATACTGTACATTATATTACAGTAGTACGTGCATACACATATTTATAGAAGCACAATTTATAATAACTAAATTTTGGAAGCAGCTTATATGTTCATTGACAAATGAATGGGTAAGGAAACTGTGTTATATACACAATGGAGTATGACTCTGCCATAAATGATACATTTTAATTGTTTGTGGAAAAATGGATGCATCTCTAGACTGCAATGTTAAGTGAAATAAATCACATGCAGAAAATTAAATATTGCACTGTTTCTCTTCTATGAAAAAATCAAAACTATAAATAAAGAGCAAAAGGTAGACTTTGTGAGGAAGAGAAGGAAATGGATGGAAACAGAAGTGCTAAGAAGGGAAATCAAAGTAAAAATGATTAAGTTGCAATATGTATATGTAACAATTCCCCAAGATAAATACATTATGCATTGCAAATATATACCATTAAAAATCCCATAATAAATCCTTCCCTTTGTAAATGTGCTGGTACAATCCTCCCTAGGAAAGTCTCAGATTTGCCCATTCTGCTGAGTAGACTACAATACCCAATTTCCATGACACCAGCAGATCAAGGTTTGAGATGAGTAAAACATTAGTAAGCAATGAATATAGAAGATATGGTTGAACATCCCAGTGAAAGCAAAGACCTATCCAAAACAGACGAATGTATGTATAGATAGATACACATGGATAATCTGGTACATTGAGAGAAGCAGTGATCTCTCCATTATGCCTTGTCTACTCCTTATTCAGGGACTGGTTCAGTATTGTAATCCACTGTTATTACCTTACTTACATACAAGCAAGTTGTAGGCTTTGACAGTAGAGAGGGGATCAGCACGAGGGACTGCTTAGGAGTTAGTGCTTTCCAGGAATTCGTCATTCCCATTTCTCTCCAGCAAAAATACAGAAAATATATGTTTAATAGGTTTTAGTCCTATTTGTTGTTTTACTCTTTTGTTAAGCAGATCACATTTCTTTCACAGAAACCATTAAATTTCCAGGAAGCTAGGGACTTCATTTTACCAGGAGGGAAGGAAAGGAAGGAGAGATGGTAGGAAGAAGAGAAACACAAACAAGGAAGTTGTCATCCCTATTCTCTTACATTTCTTTAAAATTACACACTAGTGCTATTGTTTCTACTGCTATTGTGGATAAAAAAGTAATTTGTGACTAGCAATTCACCCAACCCCCTATATTGCCAACAGACAATAAAGCACATGTCACTGGATCAAGAATGCTCAGAAAAATATCTTAACATTTATAATCAGCATTTCCTGCAATAGGCCAATGATTAGCTTGAGTATCTGGTCTAGAGAATAAGGAATTAAATGAGTTAGGCTCTTTTCTGTGATTGAAACAAGAACAATCCAAGTACAATGCAAAATAAGCTACAAATTGTGCCGTGTCTTCAGAGATCTGAGAGATATCTATTGAAAATTCTGGGAGGCTTTAGCTCTGTGAAAAGAACATGAACCAATGAAAATCTCTCTCTCTCTCTCTCTGTCTCTCTCTCTCTCTCTCTCTGTCTCTCTCTCTCTCTCTCCTTTCTGGCTTACTCTTTGAGGCCATAACATGTTATGGTCAGGGAATACATAATAGCAACATTAATTGCTATATGAATATACAGAAGCTTGTTCAAATTTCTCAAATAATTCTATTAATAGTACTCTGCTTTCACAGGGACAGCTGCTTTCTGCCTGGAATCATTTTGGGTATCAGGGTTGATGTAGTGCAAAGTAAGCTAATCTTGGGAATGCCTGGGCTCTTCTACCATCTAACTTTAGGAAAGCCACAATGCTCTGAGTTCCAATGTCCTTTATTTGTAGAACAAGGTTAAGATGTTGCCCTTGACACAATTCTTGATAAGTTCAAATAAAATGAAAGTACACTATCATTGGAGGTGATTTATGTGAGAATTGGGACCGCCATGCAAACAATCTTTGAGGAACACATTTCCCACTTCAGGCCATTCTTTTCTGATGATATCATGACTATTCACGACCAGATGAAGATGAGGTTGACAAACTAATTGCTCCTTCAGGGACATCACTGAGCTCCAACCAGAGGTTAAGAAGATCTGAAGTATACATCCATGAAAGCATTCCAGGGAGAGTGCATGTGTACTGATTTTGCTTGCACAAATCCCATGAGACTGGATTATTTATGAGGAGGAAATTAAAAGACTTTTGGATGGAGCACGCTGTGCTCTGCTCAGAAGAAGTAAATGTGAAGTCTTGTCATTACACTTTGGAAACCTTGACCATGTTCCCAGCTGGACTCTGTGAGTATTCAAACTGCTTCCTATGTCTCACTGATGGCCTTTGCCCCTTGCACACTAACAAATGCACACACAAGGCCTTCTCTGGATTTTGGAGACTTCCTTTACCTGACATGGACTTTGAGTCAAATGAAACTGTGAATCACAGACTATCATGATGTCTGCAAAAGGGCAAGGACCAGAGACACCGAGTTTTGCAGACCAAGGACAGTAGATGAAAAACTCATGGGAATTTGTTCAGAGACTTCTCAGGTAGGACTAGAATTGATAACAGGGATCAATAATCACTCCTTTCCCAGAAGGCTTGTTTCTCTCTTTACAGTTTTCATTTTTTACCTAATTGTGATGTGGTACAGGGTAACATACTGTCCAGGTCATTATCTTTAGAGACGTTTTTCATTGGCACTTGTTAAAGTTTCTGATTAGAATCTTGATGTTGATTGTGGCTGCACAATTTGAAAGCTTCTGTACTGAAACTGATATGAAGATCTAGTGTCTGCAGGGAGAAAATACTGTTGCATGATTCCTAAAATTAAATGAGATTTTTAATAAATGTGTTGCACAGCCAGGCATGTAAATGTGCAGGTAATTTTAACTATAATAACTAATAAGTGCCAAAGTGAAGATTCACATTAATTGTTCTTATTTCTAGTACATTTCTAATACAATTTTTTTCTGTTATTTTGTAGATGGTAATGAATAGTGTGAGTTTATTGCTCAAAGATATTACAAGAAGTCAAATATAAATATATTAGAAGATAATAAAAGGATGCAAAAAGGTTTCTAGCTGGAAATATATTGAAAATATCTTTAAACTTATGATCTCATTATGGAAGCTTTTGTAAAATTCTTTGCAAGAAGTGGACAGATGGTGACTTCTTAAATAGGTTTTTTTTTTTTTTTTACCTAAATCATGCTCTTACCCTTTGTAAATAGGTACATTGCTGTACATTGGCATCGTTAGAGTACTCATCAGCAAGAAACTTAATAATTTGATACTGGTGTCCAGATTTGAGAGTCTTGGCTCCCTTTTCAAGGTCAGACATTCTCACAGGTATGAGGAATCTCTCAATGGTGACCGAGTTTATTCTGCTGGGCATCCCACACACAGAGGGTCTGGAGACCATGCTATTTGCCCTGTTTCTGTCCTTCTACATCTTCACACTTATAGGCAACCTGCTCATACTTCTGGCAATCATCTCCTCCACTCAACTTCACACTCCCATGTACTTCTTCTTATGCAAATTGTCCATTTTTGACATTTTTTTCCCTTCTGTGAGTTCTCCCAAGATGCTATTCTACCTCTCAGGGAACAGCCGAGCCATCTCCTATGCAGGATGTGTGTCCCAGCTCTTTTTCTACCATTTCCTGGGGTGCACTGAGTGTTTCCTGTATACAGTGATGGCGTTTGACCGCTTTGTTGCCATCTGTCACCCTCTACGCTACACAATAATCATGAGCCTCAGAGTATGCACCATCTTGGCCATGGGGACCTCATTTTTTGGCTGCATTCAGGCCACCTTTCTCACCACTCTCACCTTCCAGTTGCCCTACTGTGGCCCCAGGGAGGTGGACTATTACTTCTGTGATATCCCAGTGATGCTGAAGCTGGCTTGTGCAGATACCTCAGCCCTGGAGATGGTGGGGTTCATCAGTGTGGGTCTCATGCCCCTCAGCTGCTTCCTTCTCATCCTCACCTCCTACAGCTGCATTGTCTGCTCCATTCTGCAGATCCGCTCTGCTGAGGGCCGGCATCGTGCCTTCTCCACCTGTAGTGCCCACCTCACTGCCATTCTACTTTTCTACATGCCTGTGGTCCTTATCTATTTAAGGCCAACCCCAAGCCCCTGGCTGGATGCAACTGTTCAGGTCCTGAACAACCTGGTCACTCCCATGCTGAACCCCTTGATCTACAGCCTCAGGAATAAGGAGGTGAAATTATCACTGAGGAATGTACTACATCAGCTGGGCTTCCTTCCTGAGAAGCTGTAGAGAGAGAGAGAGAGATCAGTAACTTACCCTTCATGCTTTACAGCTGACAAAATACTTTTTTGTTGTTTAAATTCTTTTATTGGTTCATTTTAGTTATACAATACATTTACATTTATCATTGGGTGCTTGTACCTGTACATGATGTATCTTGGTTCTTATTTTTTCCCCATTACCTGTGCACCCTTACCCCGCTTCACCTTCAAAGGGATAGGGAAAGTGGGAGGGGAAGGGGAAAGTAAAGAAGGGAACAGAAAAATTATGAGAAAAGAAAAAAATGGGAACAAAGTCTATGACAAAATACTTTTATTTTGTTCTCATAAGTATTTTAGAATTTGAGAGCAAAAATTGTATTATTATTTCTACTTTATGACATGGGGACTGAGATGTTCAGAGTTAGTGTGATTTGTCCAGGGATCTATCGGCAACACATGGTGGAATGAAGACCACAGAGATGGTTTTCTGAAACTGGGATCAGTGTTTTCTTGTAGACATCATACTGATGGAACGAGAACAGAAACTCTTGCTAGTAGGCAGAACAACCTTGACTTCCTGTCTCTCAGTTTTTATTTTCTTCATCCTCTTTCATTGCTCCTCCTTTTCCACTCAATCTAGTGCTTTTTCATCTTGGCTATAGAGATGTCCTCTTCAGCATCTGCATTGACTATGCTATCATTTTATGGTTTCAAAGGTTGTGGAAAGAGTGAGAGAAGTATAGCCCCATGACTTCTAATAGCATCCTGTTACTTCTAAACCATAAAGAAATTGTATGAAGAGAAAAACTTCTGGGTGTAACTTGAAATAAGTCCCTCATATGTAGAGCAGAGGTACAAGTGTGCTGTATTCCTTTCAAACCCTGCCTGTTGTATTTAGACCTGAAAACAGGTTTGGGCTATGACCGTGCAGCATGTATATGAGCATATAATTGAGAAGAGGGACTAGTTAGAGGGAATTCAATGAGAGTAGACTGTGCTGTGATTCCATATCTTGTCTTCATCATACTCAGTACAATGAGGAGTAAATATGGGGTCCAAACTCTTTTTCTTTTGTTTCTTTGGTTTCTTTAGTTACTGAAATAACTTCACTTTGCTGTACCTTCCTGTATTTCTTGATTTTTTTGGCTGAAATATGCTAAACACAGGAAATACCCCATTTCAATCCAGTGAGCTATTACTTTCATGATTGAATTCATTAGGTATCCTATCATGTGGCTGGGGATTTAGCTCAGCGTTTGCAAGCACAACGTCCACAGTTTGATCCCTGGTACCAAAAAAAGAAAAACAGAATCCTATCATGCTTGGGAATATAGCATCTATGAAGTTTGTTCTTAGAATGATCTAGAGAGTAAGAGACTTTAGAAAGAAGCAGATGAAAGAAGCAGAGATAGAAGCATAGACTGGCAATTTTCTTCTATCTCCTTGCTTCCAAATCTAAGAGATGCTGGAAGCTCACATGGCTTCAGAGTCTGAATTCTGTTTCTACCAGAACAGGAGCCCAGAATGCCAAGCCAAGCCTGGGTTGAGTTTCATTGTTGGATAATATTTTTATGGGTTCTGCAATTAAGAGAGCAGCCTAAGAAGATAAGGAGACCATCCAGAAGAATATTTTATCCACAGGGACCATCATTATAAAGATTCAAAGTTTAAGCAGAGGGAGGCCAGAGAAGAAAAAGAGTATTAAACCAGAGATTCAGAGGACAGTTTGGAGCTGAATGAGCTATGGCTGCAGCATTTTCTCAGACACTTGCTTTAAGTATGATCTAAGAGATACCCAAGATCTGCACTAGGTGGAATCCAGTTTTTAAAAATATATTTTTGTTCACCTCAACAATTTCTGCAACATACCATGAAACATTCAGTCACATTTTCCTTCAATTTCCCACATAAATTTGTTACAGAATCAGTGCCTGTTCTCAATTTCATCAATGGATTAGTTGTACATAGGGCCCAGAGTGAAACTATAATGTAATCATCTATGAAGATGATATAGGGGGAAGAGATGTAATTCCCAAACCTACTAGATATCCAAAACATGAGTTCCTGTTCTCTAAAATTGAAGAGTGAATTCCAGAAACAATGGAGGTTAAGAATAGGAAAAATTTATTGGGAGAAAGAAAGGTTCTGACTAAGAGAGACAGAAGGGGGACCAGAAAGTGGGTTGCCTGCCCACCCCACTTTTCAAAGATGTTTTATACAGCAAAGTCATGTGGTGAGGCAGGTACAAAGTGGAACAAAACTATAAGACCTAATGGAAATTTACAAGGTGGGCATGAGGTGGGGCAAAACCATAACCAACCAATAAAATTACAAGTACATTCACCCAGGTAATACTGATTAAATGAAGTTCAAGTCTGGGAGCAAGTCACTTAGCAAGCCTACAAGGATTTTCAGTAAGGGTGGGCCAGGAATATTTCCTGGAAAGGCTGGGTTAAGACCTTTACCCCCCACCTAGGTAATTGATACCTATTTAGAATATCAATCACCACTATTTATCCCCAGGGGAAGCACCAGGGTATGTAGTTTTTCTTCTTTTGCAATTCTGGCCTTCAGTGAATGTGTCTTGATTGTCCTCTGTGTTGGCTCCTTGACTGTCCTCCATGTTGGCTCCTCCTGGCTGGCCCTGTCTGTCTACAAGATACCTAATTAAGTTACCTATCTGCAATAAAGAGATATGATGTGGACACTGAAAGCAAAGCTGAGATGGTGGCTGCTGACATAGAGAAACAGGATTGTGCAGAGAAGATCTCAGAGGAATATTCAGTGTCCAAGTCCTGTTCTCGTTACTTCCTGCCTTCCCTGGGACCCTAATGATTTGTTCTAAATGAAATTAACTGAAATTCATGATCAACAAATAAGAAATTAATGTCATTAATGTCACTTAGTATGGAATTTTGAGAGGTCAAGAAAAATGAATTTAACTTGTTGGCTGTATTCATAGCAATCCTGCTGACCTTATAATTTGGCTCATGTATTAACTATTTCTTTGGCTTTGCCTCCTTTAGACTCAAACCTATAGGGCTACCAAGATGACAATGCCTGGTGTCTATTGAAGGCCTTTAGATAGACCCTCTGTAGAGTAACTAACTGCTGATCACAACTACAACCTTCTTCAGCTGGAAGTAGCCAGAATGGTCATCGCCCTTTGCCCCCTCACAGGACTTAGGGGTACTTCTTCAGAGTGGGAAATATTATAGATAGGTAAGTTAATTAGACATCTTGTAGACAGTTAGATAAGGCTGGCCCTCCAGAAGTCAACAAGGAGGACATTCAAAGAGCCAATCTGGAGAACAATCAAAACACATCCACTGAAGGCCAACATTATAGAAGAAGATAAATTACTACACCCTCCTGCTTCCCCTGGGGATGAATAGCAGTAATTGATATTCTAAATAGGTATCAATCACCTGGATGGGGGTCCAAGGTCTTACCCCAGCCTTTCCAGGAAATATCCCTGGCCCACCCTTACTGAAAATCCTTGTAGGCTTGCTAAGTGACTTGCTCCCAGACCTTAATTTCATTTAATCAATATTACCTGGGTGAATGTACTTGTAATCTTATTGGTTGGTTATGGTTTTGCCCCACCTCATGCCCACCTTGTAAATTTCCATTAGGTCTTACAGTTTGTTCCACTTTGTACCTGCCTCACTACATGACTTTGCTGTATAAAACATCTTTGAAACGTGGGGTGGGGGGTAACACACTTTCTGGTCCTCCTTTTGTCTCTCTTAGACAGAACCTTTCTTTCTCTCAATAAATTTTTCCTACTCTTAACCACCATTGTTCCTGGAATTCATTCTTTGATTTTAGAGAGCATGAATTCGTGTTTCAGATTTTTTTATTCATATTTATTGAATGAATGAATAAAAGAATGGTAGCCTTTTTGTGCCAAGGTTTATTAATAGTGACCCACCCTTTTTTGGCTTCCCATACCCCAGCTTCCAAGCCCAGTCAATTTCCCCATTCCAGGGCTTCAGTGTAGTCCCAAAATGTAGGAAGTGGGATAGGCTAGCCTTGGACATCATCCAGGTCTCTGGCTTCCAATCCTATTTTTTTCTTTAATGCAAGTAAAAACATACTTTTATCCCAAACCTCTCACAAAACCATTACATATCAAATTCAAAAGCTAGATCTGCTCTTGTTGAGAGAAAATATGTGAGATTTACAGCCAAGAAACATAGTTTGGTGTTCACTCCTTATTTCAGTGACTTCATGGTACAGATAAATGGCTGAGGCCACCCACAGAGGAGCTATGATCTGCCCTCGGAGCCACAGCTTCCAGGACCCTCAGACCAGTGCTTTTTCCACAGCACCACACAGGAGTCTAGAGTCTGCCCAGACACAGCTGGAATTTATTCTCAATAATTTTTTCCTACTCTTTAAAAAAAAGAATACTGAGTTTACTTTTACAAAAATAATGACTCCAGCTTATAGAAGACCAGATAATGAGGATCAAGGCCTAATTGACCCTCTCTGAGAGCACAAAAGAGAAAAACAGCATGCTGTGCCTCCTTTGGCAATGTGCAGGCATGCTAGCACATTGCACGTTCCAGAGAAGAGTAATACAGCTGAGACCTGGAGGTTTACCTGGGTATATGCTATAGACAATGAGAGACTACAGATCTTATATTAATCTAATTGTTCGTTCCCGTGTCTGACTGAACAAAAGTGAGGTAAGGCAAACTCTCAGGGCTCTTTGTCAACAGAGACAAAGAGGCCCCTGGCCCCCTCATTCCAAGTTATCTGTGTGTCTTTTGTCTTTGATTCTCATTTGCCCCCCCAGTTGAGGATAAACTCATAAGCTGGTTCCTACACCAGGCAAAACAATAACATTATTATATCACTATGTTTTTCTACACATTCACTGAAGACAAGGGGGCAATAGTAAAGTATAGTTGTTGAGAAAAAGTTTAGCCTATAATTTATTATTCATTTGTATTCCAGTGTTTAAAAAAATCTTTTCTCAGTGATGTGCTACAAGAATGAAACAAGTAAAAAGTCATCTGTCATTGTTCTGTTGGAGGTCTTTTAAAAATATATATCAAATATTAAATAATAAATAATGTTTATGGCTTTCAGATTTAATATAATTATTACATTAATATAATGTAATTCCACTGAAAAGTAACCTTTCACTTAATATTAGCTTTTGATATTTATATATTTGCATATGAAATGAATTAATTCACTATAGCTAAAGCATAGTAGACAATTATATAAATATATCAACTTTCCCAGTGCCCAGTGTGCAGTATCCCATTACATGAATATATCAACATTTTCTACTTTCATTTAGAAATAAAGAAACATAAATTTCTCACATGTAAGCATTTTTAAATTTGAATACCGTAATGTTGTGGTGAGTTCTTCATATTTATCATTGGTAAACATGTAACACAAAAATACTATTGCTAAACCCCCTCTCAACATTTCCCCCCAGTAGGTATAAGAGAAAACAGGAAATTTGATTCATTTTATATTGTCTCCACAGTGGATACTGACTTAAAAGTTGGTACATAAGCAATTTGCTGGGAAACTGCTCCTAGGCAGCATGGTAAGTGGATGGGAAAGTGAGGAAGGAAAGGACAGTCAGTTAAGCAAGCATCTCTGATTACCCACTGTGGGAGTTTAACTCAATGCCACTGGAGATGCTCTGAGAGACCATATAGAGCTACCTTCAGTTTCTTTCTTTCTTTCTTTTTTTGGTACCGGGGATCGAACTTGGGTCCTTACCTTCACTTTTTTGAAGTAGGGTACAAAGAAAACTGGATTTATAGATCAACTATTGCCTCAAATTTGTTAATGGCTGTTTCTCCCTATGTTCATTATCAGGCACTTCTGGCCTGCACCATATAGATAGGTTAAAAAAATCTTCCTTGGCAGAGACTTCCCTCAGGTAGAGGATTCAGGTTTCCATCAGCACACAAAGACGCTCTAAAAATGACTTCTGGAGCAGGCAGAGGGGTTGTGCACAGAGAAATTAAGCAATGCTATGTTTCATAATTAATTCACTTCTAAAAGGAGAATTTTCCAGAATGCAAACCACACGATACAACTCTCCTTTAGGATTTTCAGGTATCATTTGTTTATTGTAATTGATTTAGAGTAATTTAGTTTGTGTCTGTGGATTTAAGAATCAGAATCAATCTACCTCCATAGTGTCCTCAAAAGCATACACTCCGCCAACCACATAACTCTCTTCTTGCCATCTTCTAAACATAGCTCTTTGGGTTTCTATTCAATCATTCACTTGTTCTTACAATAAATCATTATCTATTAAACTCTAATAAGCTGACCATTGGAATTGCAAAGGTCTGTAAATCTTACCCTTATAAAGCTCATGGCTAAACATAGAAGGCCAATACAGAAATGATTAAAATAAAATACAGCAAATATTTAATGAAAATTTATAAAATGTAGACTAACAAAATGAAGGCTAAAATCACTAATCCTGTGCTTATGTTGGAGATAATTTCAGAAAGCATTTAAAATGTGTTCATTCACAATTATATGCTCTTATAAATTTTATTTAGTTGTGCTTTAATGGCTGCCTTGATGTTCCAAATCAATTCTAGCCTTTATGCCTTGATTGATTTGATTTTAGGTAAGAGTCAGAAGTCACATAGTACCAGATCTGTTGAATAAGGTGCAGGAGCATATGCCTTTCCATGGAATGGCACTCAGCAGCAGCATTCACTGAATTTTTGATCACACCTCCTAAAGACATTCATGAAACAGAACTTCCAGAACTCCTTCAGACAGTGGCAAGAATGATGATATGAGTGTCTTTGAAGTGAGGGGAATATTTTGAGGGGAATAATGGTAATGTGCCTTTTACTGTAATAAATTTTAAACATTCACCATATCTCTGCATGCCTGGCACTGCTTGGGTGAGGTTCACTGTTATTAGGGTGGACAGTGTGCTTTACCTATTCTTTCTATTGATTGAAGTGTTAATCTTATTGAAAACAACTTTACAAACATACTCAGATTACTTGATCAAATATTAGAACACACCATATGGGCCAGTCAAATTGATACAGAACAGTAACCATGACAATCAGTAGTATGTTACTGAAATTCTGAACCCTTGAACATATGATTTCATAAAAGTAATAGATAC